CTCTGCTTTGCTATTAACAAAGATGCTTAATTCACCCTTCTTTGTAGTTATAGCAGAAAGAAATTGTCCTGGAATTCACCATCAAAATATTAAGTCCAAGGTGCTACAACTGTGAAACCTAGTAACTCAGAGGAATTAAAGTGAAACCCAGCAATATGTCACCTATCAAAGGCTGCACCTTTGAAGTCCTTGTAATAAAGGTCTGAAGAATAATGTAATGTGTCATTAACATCAAAGTGTCTGCTAGCTAATAGTATTGGTTTTGCTTTAAATGTGTTAACTACTGGCCACATTGCTTGCTCCAAATTCCTAGTTGCTTACTGAATAAGCACCAAAACTTTATCATATAAATTTAGCTTTTTGCATATAAGCTACTTGTGAAGAAAACTGTTTCCTGCAAAATACCACTTTCTTTTCTAAAACCCATTTAATTCACATTGCACCACAAGAATAGTAGTCATTCAAAATTCCTAACATTAGACTACATATGATACAAAAGAGTAAATCTAAATTAAAAAATCTAAAACAGAGTAACCTAGAGACTACCTCACCCATTACCTGCCTCATTGAGTCTTTTCACCACTGCTGGCAGATTACAGCTGTTGATTCTACAAATTATTAAAATTTTACCTATAATGTTATACAAAATGCCATGTACTAACTGCTGTATGGGATTAGGGAGTGTTTTTCTCTCCACATTACGTCAAATAGCTTTTCACAGAGTCCAGACATAGGTGTTCTGGGTTAGTAAGTAGTGACATACCCACTCACATCCTCATCTTCAAATTTGTGAAATTTGTTTTCTACTCTTATCCAGCTGCCGATTATTTGTTTTCCTCCTTGACACACATTGACATGTACACACATACTCACTGATTCGTTACCAGGGTGGCTGAGGGCAACTCTATTTGGCGTTCCTTGTCAATGCATTAATAAATGAATAGGCAAGGTGTAGGTGGAACACTTGTATTCAGCTCTCTTCTAAATCTGTTTATGTTTTATTTCGTTCAACCACAGCATAACCCTCTGAGTTAGGTTCATTGTTACCACGTTCATCTGAAAAAATACTGAGGATTAGAGAGAATAGTCTAAGAACAAATGTTTAACAACCAAGTTAGGGTTTAAACCAAAACACACTGGCATCTGATCTTGTGTTCTCAAGTACTCTGTTTTACTGTTTTTCCTTTCAAATCTGACCACATTTGAAGTAGTTGGTATTATGTCTTATGCTAATTTATTTGAGAAAAAAAATACATTGAACTCTTTTGTGAAATGTTATCTTAATCAACCACCAAAATAAGAATAGATAGTAAGCTAGTATTTATTTGTTAAATAACTGTAGAATTTTTAACTTTAAAATTTTTCCATATACATAAATAATTGAAGTGGGACCGTCTTACTGGAACTGGCAATCACTTAACCCCCTACTCCCCGCTTCCCCTTATTTTTCCTTTTTTGAGACAGAGTCTCGCTCTGTCACCCAGGCTGGAGTACAGTAGCGCTATCTCAGCTCACTGCAACCTCTGCCTCCTGGGTTCAAGTGATCTCCTGCCTCAGCCTCCTGAGTAGCTGGGATTATAGGCATGTGCCACCATGCCCAGCTAATTTTGTTGTATTTTTAGTAAACAGAGGTTTCATCATTTTGACCAGGCTGGTCTCGATCTCCTGACCTCAAGTGATCCCTCTGCCTTGGCCTCCCAAAGTGCTGGAATTGCAGGTGTGAGCCACATTTAACTCCTTTAAGTTTTGATTTTATAATCTCTAATGACATTTGTCTTTGTTAGAAGGTTGTTATTTGGTATTAAATAATGTAATTATGAGCATGTTCATTGTCAACAATCAATTTCTATACAAATGCAATATACTATTATTATATTAACAAAATGAATGTTAAAATTCTACATTCTATATTAACTAGGAAAATCTAAATGAATTTTAAATGAAAGAGGAATAAATACCCTGTATGTCACTTATATGTTTAGAGAAATTCAAATACATAGGTTCTGAGGTTTCTCAGTTCTATTAAGTAACATGAAGACATTATTTATTAACATTTAGATTATGATGATTGTTGTACATACTTGATTTCCAGAATTAGACTCTTCTTTGATAATTGAACACCCTTATTTAAAATAAGCCAATCCTTTCTTCATGTTACATGGGTAGTTAGATAGGCAGATGATTGAGAAGACAGACTGTAACGCACTGGTTAGATATACATTTATAATAAGTAGGAGTTTTGCTCTACTCCAAGTATATTGAGAATTCATAAAAGGAATCAAAACATTTTTAATGGATCTTGCCTAAGGATAAGTTATCTCTTTTAGCTTAAAAATTGCTTTGCCCCAGAAAAGTTCTCTTTTCAAATATGTGCAAATTATCATCTCTGCCACTTCTTAAGAAAATAATTTGCTAAAGGGAATGTTTTAGAAAGTTTCTATTAGTGAGAAAAATCTGATTTATAATCTCCACAGATTTCTAACACATTATATCTGATTACCAGACCATTGATGATATTAAAACTCGAGGCATACATTTTTTGTCAGGGTTTTTTTCAATTTGACTCAGCTTTTCTGCCACCTCAACTATAGTAGACATTCATTACTGCTCATGATTGTGTTGACCCTGAGAAAATGCAGTGAGGGAGGGGATGACCTGTTCATAATATAATGGAAATTACGTTTCCCATTTGGCACATAAATTAGGAAGAAAGTAAAAAAAAAAAAAAAAAAAAAAAGGGGTGGGTGGTGGGAGGTGTTTAAAGTAGTTGGTCATCTGTTAAAAGTCAAATTTTCAGTCATCTTTGCTACAAATGTGAGGAAACAGATTATTCAAAATCTTTTGTTTTATCCTGCAAGTGGCAGAGGTGAAATTCCTTTTGTGTTGCTCAGAGATTTTCTTTTTGGGGTTTTTTCTTTCCCACATAAACACATGAAAATGCAATTTATTTCTGTGTTTTCTGTTCCTTTTCCTGATCAGACTGGCAAACAATATGTTGGCATGATCAGCTTCTCCTTTGTGACAAATTCTGATTTTCTACTTCATAATTAGATGAACTTACACTGGACACATTTTGTTTCCTCCAGAAGATGACTAGTTGAACTGAAATTTGTTTATACAAACACTGTAATTTAAGTACTAATAATGCCTTTGAGTTAAAGGATGGATGTAATTGAAAAGGTCAAAACCTATTTGACTTTCTTTAAATGTTTGATAGCTTGTTTACTTACATTTATGTTATCTGAAATGCCAAGACATTTGCCCTTTTCACGTAGAGTGTAGGGCTGTTCATTAATATTTTTTTCTGGCCTCTATTCATTCTGAAACAAACAGTGCCCAGTATAACTATGTGTTTCTAATAGTTAATTAAGAGGTAGTTCCTACCTTCAAAAATCACACATTCTGATAGATGAAAACAACTACTTAGCAACAAGTAATAACCACCATTTTTAGTGCTTTTTTTATTCATTCAACACACATTTGTAAAGTATCTATTATATACTAGACACTATTCTAGGATGTACACACATAAATAAAGCCAACGAAATTCTTTCCTTTTAGGTACCTTGCATTCTATTAGGGAGCAATTGCAGTATTTCAGATTCTCATTAGTTAGATTGACATTGTCTCTTTCTATGGGAATTTGCAAAGGCATAGGTTGGCAGAAGTTGAGGGTAGTCGAAGAAAAAAAGCATTCTCTTTCTCTGAATAAAGACATGATTTCATGTTGTTCATATTAAAAGGACATCTACATATCCATATTGTGTTTTTTAACACTGTGCTATGTTGAAAATTATATATAAGCTTATATAAGGAAAATAATGTTTCCTACTATATAATATAATCCACGTTCTTCTTCATCACATTCACCATAAATCTTTCCTGACTGTCCCTGACAGAAGTTTATTCCATTTTAAGATGCTCATTTTGTTTTTCACGTATATATATTTAAGTAATCCATTATACCATTACTAGATTGTAAGCACTTACGGATAAACTATGTTGAAGTCATTATTCTATTATGTATAGAACCTAACACAGGGCATGGCTTATACTGAATGAATATTTGCAGTATTAAGTTGAAATACAACCAATGTAAACTAAGAATTAAGACAAGAATACACACATACACACAGTATTCTCCATTCTTTATCTTCAGTTTCCAATTTGAATTTTAACATAATTTTGGATGACATACCTTTGTCCACATAAATATCTTATACTTCCTATAGTCTCCCAATATAGTAGATACACAACTACAATTTCTGATTTTTATAACTGAACAATTTTTCTCAAGAACAAAGAAAAACATTAGATTGAAATATACAATTTATTGTATTAATAGAAATGTATTTTAAGCATTATCCTTAAAACTCAAAGTTTTAAGACATTAGGCATTTCTAAATTTACTTAGGTTGCTATATTTTTGTGAACACAAGTAGCTATATCATTATTTGAGAGAGAACAACTATAGCAAAATTAATTATTCATCATTTTAACTTTATTCATTTGCTAATTTATTTGAACTTCCTTATGGTCATTAATATTCAGATTGCTCATTAATTTATACATAATAATAGTTACAGTATCTGAAGCCAAATTAGAAAAAGCATCAAGTTAATTATTTTCTCTTTCCAAATCTGCACACATTTCATGATCCCTCCAGACCTAAGAAGCCACAAGTTCACATTTTCTTGACAGTGGCTTTCATAATCCCAGATCGCATTCACTAGCTAGTAGAGTTTGGTTCCCTGAAGAGTTAGTCAGTTGATGGGCTGTATTTGTTTAGTTTGACTTTGCTGATCTTAACAAGAATTAATTCTCCTAGCTGTAGTGAATATCTAAGTATTGTAATGACATACATCTAACTGTTCCTTACTGACTAAATGGTTCTTCTTTTAGTTTTAAATTAGAGTTTTACATACATAAAGAGAAAACAGGTTTTATCAGCATAAGAATTTTTTTTTCACAAATTCAAACCCTTATTCCTTCTCTTATAGAGCAAAACTGGGGGACTAATACAGTGTTCATTCTATCAGAGTGCAGACAAATCCTGTAAATGTGAGAATTCTCTTGATTCCTGCTCCTCCCCAAAAGAGGTATTTCTGATTCATTGAAAACTCTAGAAATTCGCTTTGTGTGTTCAAAGGATGTTTTCTTAGTTCAAGCCAAATATATTTATTCCATTGGCTTAAATAAATAGTTCTACAAAAATATTATTATGTGCATTTTAGATATGGTTATAAAATATACATTTTTGTGTGTGTATATATATATATGCATGTTGAATTAAAATTATCTATAGATAAAATAGAAGTGTGCTCAGGTAAAATTTTAGACTGCTGATCTTCCCTGAGGAATACTGATTCCCTTTGGTTTTGTCCTCCCTTTCTATTAGATGTTCTCTCTCTCTCTCTCTCTTTTTCCCCTTCTCTCTCTCTCTCTCCCCTTCTCTCTCTCTCTCCCCTTCTCTTTCTCTTTCTTTCTTTCTCTCTCTCTCTCTCTCTCTCTCGTTTACTTTATTTGGTCTACAGAAAAGTCAATAAATAGAATTGATGAATGTGAACATGTAGTTTCTGAGTAAAACAGCAGCCATGTGGCTAAGATCAGCAACTATGTCTTATTCATCCTTTGTACCCCTAACATCTAATATGGTACTTGATGTATAATGTAGTTAAATAAATATTTATTGAGCTGAATAAGCTATATAAAGAGGTCATAGGCAAGATCTAATGAAACAATATGTTATTTTTATAATTGGAAAAAGAGGTACATGAGGAATATTAAAATACATGATTCAGAAACTTGAAACAGGAAACACTAGCCTGAATTAAAATGGGGAAGTAATCTGTTTCATGTTTCTAGCTGTACTACTACATCATTTAGTTTCATTAGAAAATACTGGTATCAAAATGTTTATTATAGACTTCCTTTCTGCCGTCATAGACGGCAGGATAGAGAATCCTTGGTATCGGATATCTCTATTTTTGCACTGAATTCTCTCAAATACATTTATGGAAATATTAAAATTGTGAAATTACATTCAAATGTAGACTCATGACAGATACTAATGGTGTTATGTTAAGTAAAGGCAACCAGGATAAAATACTATGATTATAACTGTATTTAGCAAGAACCTAAATATGAAAATGTATTTTATATATGTGCTAAATTACTGAAATCTGATTCACAATAGTAGAATTGCCACAGTGGATCTATCAAGAATTCACTTACATGGGAGCCAAGTCACTTGGAGTATAGCTACTCCATCCTCAAAAAACTTATCGCTGGTTTTAAGTGGATAGGTGTGATTATAAAACAGTCATATTTAGAAAGTCATCTGTGAGTAATTGGGAACACATGTTAGCCTTTAGAAGAATATGACAGCAGTGTTGCTGAACAAGACATCTCATATTCATTGGAATATGAAGTGGACATTTGTTAAGCTCTAAGAGGAAAATGTTCCTGGGGGACATGTATTTAGTGGGCATCATAGCAGCATCTCAGCTTTATTATATCCTTAGGCAGGATTCAGAATCCCAGGAAATGGAAAGAACTGTGGTTCAGGGAGTCTCAGAAGATAAAATTATGAGCCTGTCCTGGAGAGGAAGAAAATCATAGAAGCCACATGGTAACTAACGAGACTATTTTGTGAATAGGAAAGATACTTCCTGGGAAAAAACAAAATGAGATGGGAAGGGATTCGAGGAGACTAGAGTTATTAAAATGAGTAGATTGTGGTAAACCAGAGAAAGCCCTTTTGATAGATTACTTCCACATTAACATGACAAAAGGAAATGTTAGTTGTATATATTTAAACATACATAGGGAAAAAGGAAAACTTGGAATTATTTACCCAAAAATAATAAATAGCAATGTTTACATTATGGTGCCAAATTTACATATTTTTTCTTTTGAAAATTGTCTATACTACAGTTATATTTATTTTCTCATTTTAAAAATGCTTCTGCCTACTTGTAATATATTTTTAAAAGAAACAAATCTAGCTAGTCAAAACTACCATAATTCAAATAACTTATGCTCTGATCACCTCTGATTCTCACTTGTATTTATTTGTCAATTTGTCACTCCATCTCGTTATCCCAAGTCTTAAAGGATGATTTCTGAACTCACAATGGCTTTCCAATTCTAAATAGAAACATTTGAAATAACTTTGACATATACAGCATAATTTCATTCAAAATGACTAGAGTTAGACCGCCAAACTCCTACCCTATCCCATAGGGACTCTTTCTTAGATTCCTTCCTTGAACTCCTACCTTCATTGCATATTAGTATCATATGTATTTGAGCTACAAAAAATGGATTTGCTTTTCAATATTTAAATTGGCTTTATTCATTCCTTTTTAAATGTAGGTCTGAAATAATTTGGTTTGTTGGAAATCCCAGGGAGTTAAGCAGCTGACCCTTCCTTAAAACATGAAGGAAGCAGTGGCCATCTGGTGACGTTAATGACGCAAAAGATTTAATATTAGTGCATGAACCTTGTCATTGATTGATTCAAACATTCTCAGACATTTATATTGTGTGTATGTCGAGAGGTTTGGAATTGTGTAGGCAAGTGGTAGTATTGGTAGTCAAGAGGTTATTTTATGACTGAAACACTTTACTCTCAGGAATCTGTTTATTTTCAGACACACAAAGGTCCCATTAGACATTCTTATAATGATTGAAAAAAACTGACTTTATCGAAAGAAATAAGTAAGTAAACACATTTCTTAGAAAGAGCTATGATTGCTGGGCATGGTGGTGCGTGCCTGTAATCCCAGCTACTCAGGAGACTGAGGCAGAATTGCCTTAACCCAGGAGGCGGAGGTTGTGGTGAGCCGACATTGCGCCATTGCACTCCAGCCTGGGTAACAAGAGCGAAACTCCGTCTCAAAAAAAAAAAAAAGAAAGAAAGAAAGAAAGAGTAACGATTGTTTGAATGTTTGATTAGAATCCGATTACACTAAACTCAATTGTTAGCAAAGGGCTGTTTTATTTTCAGTTATTTACTTTTCTCTTTCCCAACCATGTTGCAGTATCAAACTATCTTCTCTTCCCTTCTATCCCATTGTGTGAGATTAGATTATGATGAGTTACATACAAATTTTTGAGTGGCAACCCTATGCTAAGCAGTATTCTAAAGTCTGGGAATATATCAGAAAGCAAAACAAAAAACACTCTTGAGGTGCTTTACATTTCAATGAATCTATATGAAAAATAATGAACAAATAATTTTACCAGGTCATGACAAGTCCTAAGGAGAGAATAAATTAGGATAAGGAAGGGGAATGCCTATTTTAGATAGTATAGCAAATGAAGATATCTCTGACAGGGTGGCTTTTGAAAGAATTGATATCCAAACACCCAGGTAAGAATATTTTAGGCACAGAGAACAAATCCCTTGAAGTGCTAAACTGTCGGAGGCCACTGGATATGTAGCGAAACAAAGGCAGAGAGGAATAGAAAGTCAGGTGAGATATGATCGTGACTTAACTAGGACCTTAGCAATGGAGCTGATGCAAAGTGCTTGAATTCTACATGTAGTGTGTAGATACTGATTCTAAACTAGGATTTGATGGTGGGCCACTGCATTATTTGGAAGTTTTAAAAATGAGGAAAAGTTGAAAAGGGAGACTAAAAATAGTATTTATTAAGAAAGAGGAAAAAAATGGCATCTTTGATGCCACGTAAAGAAAACAAAAAGCATATAGTGATGAAATATGTCAAAAGCTGAGGAGTTGATTTAGATAAAGTCTGGAAAAAATTTTAAAAGACCCCTGGATACGTCAGCCTGGATGCAAGTAACAGATTTAACAGGAAAATTTTAAATGGAGTTTAACGTTCACTAAAAGGAGATTAAAGAATGGATAAAGACAATGTGAAATGATAAATGTAAACTACACTTTAGAGGAGTTTGCATATGTTTCTATAAAGAGGAGCACAGAAAGAGAGCACTAGTGGGAGTGGGTTATGGGGTCCAAAGAAGTTATTTTTTGAGTAACATTACTATCATGAGGATATCCTTTTTTCATGAGGATATATGTCTAGTAGCTATGGGTAAAATATTACATATTATAAAATTGTATAGATCTGTTATTACATGCAAGTGCCTTGTTTTTTTGCTTCCTCCCAGCAAAGAGGGACAATTGACTTCTTTTCCAGTTTGGATGCTTTTTATTTTTTTGTCTTGACTGATTGATTTGGCTAGGACTTCCGCTACTCTGCTGGTCAGAAGTATGGAAAATAGCATCCTTGTCTTGTTCTAATTTTCAGAGAATATGCTTTAAACTTTTCCCCATTCAATATGATGCTAGCTGTGGGTGTGTCATATATGGCCTTATTATTTAAAGGTATGTTCCTCCAGTGCCTAGTTTGTTGAGGGTTTTTTTTTTTATCATAAAAACGTGTTAAATTTTATCAAATGCTTTTTCTGCATCTACTGAGATAATTTTGTGATTTTTGTTCCTCAGTCCATCGATGTGCTGTATCACATTGATTTGCATGTTGAACCACCCTTGTATCCATGAGATATATCCCATTTAATCATGGTGCATTGTCTTTTTTCATGTGCTCCTGGATTTGGTGTGGTAGCATTTTGTGGAGGAGATTTGTGTCTATGTTCATCAAGGATATCATCCTGAAGTTTTCTTATTGTGTTATGTCCTTGTCTGATGGTTAGTGTTGGAGTGATGTTGGTCTCATAGAATGAGTTAGGAAGAATTCCTTCCCCTTCAATTTTTTGAAATAGCTTCAAGAAGATTGGTATTACTTTTTGATTCATCGAATTTTGCTATAAATTCATCCAGTCCTTGGCTTTTCTTTGGAGACTTTTTATTACAGATTACATCTCCCTGCTTGTTATTGATCTGTTCAGGTTTTCTATCGCTTCCTGATTGAGTCTTGATAAATTGTATGTTTTTAATAATTCATCCATTTCCTTGATGTTTTCCAGTTTGTTAGCACTTCACAGGTGCTCCTAATACTCTCTGATGATCTTTTGTCTTTCTTTTATATCAGTTTTAACATCTCTTTTTTCATTTCTGATTTTGTTTTGAGTCTTCTTTTCTTGGTTAGTCTAGCCAATAATTTA